TTCTACCCAGCCTAGCAGCCTAGTAGCCTGATTAACGCTTTGGAGTTATGATTCGGGAGGAATACAAGGGCACTGTGGTAGAGCACGATTCCATATTAGATTGGTTATTCGATTAATATAGCCCACAGAGAGAGTATATCTCCCTAGATGGCGTTTCGAGAAGAATTGTTTGCAATAAATTCTTCTCGAAACAGAATTCAGTGAACTATAGAGCTCTTCTGTGTGTTACACCAATGAAGTAAACAATACAATATGGAGTTTGGAGGTGTTTGGCCTTATTGACTGCCATTTTTCCTCCTAGTTTTTCGGAGAAGTATGTAAGTACGTCACTGGCTGACTTCCTTTGACTAGATGCAGCACGCTGAGGTATGCTTATTGTGATTGGTAGTCTTTGAATAAAAACACGATGTTTGCATTGATGTTACTAATTGCCTCTCTTGTTGACAGATCCGGAGCTTTGTGTTGATTTCGCTGTCTCACCTTTAAGAATTTAAATGGTTTGTTCTGTGCCAGTTGGCTGACTTACGTAGCCTAAAGAGCACCACGAATTGACTGGTTAATTTGCCGCAATGGGAAGTGTTTGATGCAGTTGCCCACTGACTGGTTTCTATCCCAAAGCTACAGTACTGGCAAGGGACGTCCTGGTCACTTGTCAAAAATGCCTCTAAAATATAATTGCAGCACTAACATAACTTCTAAAAGTGGGCACCAGAGCTTGATGACAGAATGAAAAGCTTCAAGGACTAGCTCATTTGTAACGTGAAGCTAATTTCGGCCTCAATAACTCAGCAGCAGCTTTTCAAAGTGGGCAGATAACTGTCGACATCTTGCATACTTACTGAAACCGCAGAAGAATATCTCAGTTTTGCGCGAAACCCAACACAAACCAACAAAGTAAGTGTGAATGTCACTGTTTACCGAAAATCGACGACAGTTATGGAAAGAATGACGACTGTAAAAGCTCAAAGAAATCGATTACCTGACTTGGTATGAATAATCAAGATTTACGCTGGTCTATATTCGAAAACCTTTGCACGGTTAATTTACAAAGTAAATAGAATACCTTGATTACATAGAATATTTCCATGGCAGCGTCGAAAAATCTGAAGTCAGAGCGAATACGTCTTTTCGTGAGAATCTTACCAGGCCTTACCTTTTCCCACATAGTGGATGGAAATAATCAACATTTACAACGAAAAACAACAGGTATGAGGCAATCTTAATGCTTTGAAGCTTGGTAAATGATGGAGACCGTGACTACATATCACGGTGTTGTCAAACCATCTACAACAGACTGGTAATAAGATGGCAGAACGTGTAGTGCAGCATTAAAATATGTAAAATACGTAGTGGTTTATATACTCACAGTGGCCTTGACTATATCTTGGCCTCTATAGATCATATTCTTTTTGATTTTCCTTTTCAGCCAATATGATATTTACAAGTAGGTTCACGTGCATTTTCCGGGAACTTAAAAACAGCGCAATTTCTCGTGAGAGGCGAAAAGTTCTCCCGTTGCGAACTGTTGGATTCTGGAATATCAGTCAGCTAATCGAATGGGAAATTATTAGGGCAGAAAAAGTTTTTCTCAGACGTTAATGAATTTCCTTATCACCCTCTCCTCGCCAGCGAAATTTGACCTTTTTCACCTCCGAAATGTTCCTATAACCAAGGTAGTTGGATTAAAAAGTCACCGCACCAAGAACAAATCAAATCAAGAGGATTCAATAGTTCATACCGGAAATCTCTAGAAGCAAGTACGGCCTATCTCTGGCCTGCGTCCAAGCTTTTAAAGAGCCCAATGTCCGCTTTCCGTTTTTAAATCTCAAAAGAGTAGCTAACTTACAGTGTAAACAGTTAGAATACTTACTGCGCCATCCTAGAAAATTACAATGTAACCTAGACATAAGAGTTCAGTGTAGATCACTATCCAGCCACACCTCTGTCATATACTTTTATCATGACAACTTTTAGCTATTTGGTGTGATTGAATGTACACTTCATCTAATCGGCATGACCGTTCATGTCACACCAACACTATAGTAGTAACTACATCTGGAGATGACGTATATTTGATTAGGTCATCTCAAAACAAACACGATGATAGCTTGTGATCTCAGTGTGAGCACACAGACTAAGTTATTACCAACTACTGCCCGATCTTTTGGTGAACTTAAATCTCGGATGTAAGACCAACTCTGTCACAACCTTCATAAGTAGAAGGAAAAGCTTTTGTCGTTGTGTCATCATCTTTTACTGAATACATTTCCGAGGAGCACGCTTCGAATATTTACATACAGTATTAACCTTCAGCACCCGAGCGGTCCCAAACACTGGCTATGATCAATGCAAGGCACCTTTTCTATTCGTTAAAACAATGGACATGTAATAGCCAGTCAGCCAAACCTAAAGATCTCTTCCAACCCAATTGTGACTTGTGCTACCCTCAATTATTACGAGCTGGTGGCTCTTGGTTGTCCAGGTTCTCTAACATACTTGCTTCTGATTCTCTTCCAAGATCCTTTACCGCCGACTGCCCTTCTTGATTGTCACGCAAAGCCAAGAGGTTTGGCTGAAGTATCTTATGAGGACGGCTGAGTAAAATATAACTGGTGGTAAACCATGCTAGAAGTTTCCTTCGCCAACTTCCAGGGCCATTTTCGCCCCCTTTGACAAATCGTCATCGTAAGGGTCTAAAAGATTGTGTCAGAAGCCCTGACTCACTAACTATGTGGGGAGCTGACGAGAAAGTATTTCATCGAAATGAGACAGCCACCATGTAGCTTTCAGAGCCCAGGATTTCAGTTTCGGTCTTGCCTTTAGAAACTCTCTTGCGCGTTGTGAACGTACGTCGCCTGTATCTAGCTTCTTATAGTACACATGTCCAAGATGATAGCAACTTCCTGTTTGGAATATAGGTGAAATCAGAGAAGTGTTGAAACCCAAAACGCCACAAGCTACACATCCGTTTAACTTATCCACAGAAGTACATTGAGCCACATGGGAAGTTGGAAGAGGGTTAGTAAAGCCTGCTGGAACTAAAAAATGTTCATCATGAGTTATCACCCAAGTCGTTTACGAACAAAAAACCGAGATAATCCTCACAGCCCGATGAAACAGACCGGCTGGAAGAGTAAGTTTCCACTTACATAACTCAAGGAGAATATACTAAGACTGTGACAGCAAACAGTGCGGCAACAGCTGATCATGCAAATCCGATGACTTGTTCACAAGGGCAACGACGGTTAAAGGTGTGGATCTCTTTATCTTGGGCAACTTTCTTGCATCAACAGTCCGACGATGCAGATTTCAGAGCTTTCGTCAAATATCATCGATGGCAACCATCTTTGTAAGATTACGTCTCCCGTTCCGTATAAGTAGGGCAAACTGTAGCATTCGTGAAACAGGCTGGAGATAAACTTGTGCTTTCATGCCTGCCAGCTTATTGTTCTTTCTTGTACGGGCTACACGAAGGATGAAGAAGCCATCCACTGGAGCATATGCGCAATCTCGCAACAATACTGGAACACCAAATGACCGGGGTAGCGCGTGGATTCTAAAGTTGTGCGCCACACCTTAGAACTGCGTAAGATGGCACAGAACCGTCAAGTGGGTGGAACTTAGTACACATTAGAACAGCCACGGATTCCATCAGGACATCGACGACGCTCCTAGTGACAGAAGCATGTGAGCAGTAGGCTCGTCTGAATCACCAAACCTGCTAGGGTTTAGGTCATTTAGTAGCAGTGACATGTCCCTCACCAAGGTTATTATCAGTTCTATCCTCGGGCCACAATCGAGGAAGGTTAACCAGCATCCATTCCAGTCTTCCAAAAACACTGGAAATTATCGTTGTGACCATGTTCATAGATGAAGAAAATCTCCTAAACCTCCTTTTAAAATAGGCCACTCATGTGTTGCTCACTCGTTAATAATCTCTCGATAAATGAAATGTTTCTTCAAAGGCTGGCGAAAAATTTCTCGATAAATTTCATCACGACTAGCTTCATATTGTCGTCAGGCTTGGGGGATTCCCCTCCATAAATGCTCACTACAGAGGTCAAAAACTGCTACGGAATATATAATGCTTGGCGGTTTTTCTGTCTCACAGAGTTATGAGCTAATATGAGTGCACCAGTTCATGATTGTCTATATATTCGGCAGATGCATTACAGGCCACGATGGCCTTAGTAATACCACCGCTAGGAAGAATTGTCCTTTTTCGTGCCCCGAAATTTTTTTGCTGACAGGTAAGGAAGAAAAGTACCACCTCTAAAGACGAACGCAGGAAAGCAGAAATGACCTCCGCCCCCAGCTGCAGAGTGCGAATGCAGGAATCGAGCCGTGAATAAGCACAACGTCTAACATGTTTCATAGTTCATGGCAATTCTGTTGAGACGATTTGATTCCCTTATTTCGAAAACGCGAAAAACACTCTACAGGTCAAAAACATATGAAGAAAGAATCACTGTGCTCGAATATATCCTCTGTAACATAAGACACTAAGAGGGGTCCTAGCATATGCAAAAAACGTCTTGAACAAACATGGACAACCACTTCGTCGTTCATTTAATTTTAGCCGTAGCTTGGATCTTAGAGAAAAAAGAGAAAGACTGGGCCTATTATATACTAGGCTAGATATCAAGTACAACTTCTACTCCCCAAATACTGATAAATCCCGAAACGCACATCCTGCGTTACTTCATCAGAATCCATTAAAAACCGATTTGACCAACAGTTACATGCTGAAGATTCCTATTACGCCACATTTCTTGCTTGGAAAAAGGCTATCACTGTGGTTGTTGATGCATACTTAAGATTTTGGTAAGTTATTGCACAAAACTAAGTGAATTTTAGTAAACTGGCCCTTTAATTTTCACCTTTTGGTATTTTTATGACAATTTAACAACGAAAGAAACCATTAATATATGAACTGTAAATGTGGATCCAGTTAGGCAGAAGGTTCTATTTCGTGAACAACTATTGGAACTATTGGAACACGCAAGTCCAGGTGCAGCGCCACTTTCTTTAACAGCGTTACCTTTAAAGGCGTGACGCAAAGATAATGGAAAATCTAGCTGTACTGCGTATAAGTCGATTGCCTAAATATTTCGAACCCGCGGAACTGAGAAAGTACCTAGAACAATTTGGTAAAGTGTACGAGCTTTATATTCCGAAATCGAGAAAGGTTTGTAAATAGATTTGACTAAAAATTCCGAAAGACTTGTAGGTGGAAAGACCATGCTTTTGTTCGAATGTCTAAGGAAGTTGCTCCACTGGTTGCGTCAACGTTGAACAATCTGTTGGAATTTAACAAAATTATAAAATGTAAGTTAGAATACTATGATTTCGTTATTAGCGCATAAAGCCCTTTTTCACATGTTTTATGAGCTTCCATTGAGTACTTGACCCGGCTTTTAGTGTCTTGCACTATTTTGCAACACTTCACGCATTCTACTGTGGCCTATCACGTGTTTTTTATTCCAAAATAACCACAATAATTGTTTAAAAAAACGTCATCGTGACGTGACAGTTTCAGTTCCCACCGTTCTTATAAACATATTAAACATGACACTAAAGGTGAAGCGTAGAAACGTGGGGAACATGTAGCTGAATATCATAGAATGCTATCTATAGATGGCAACACATTCAAAGTAACGTAGAATAACGGTCCAAATTGCCACACATATCAGGATGCCAAACGATAAGGCATCGAGATTAGAAGATGGCGAAGTATAGTAGAAGGCAGTCGGGTGTGATGAAAATCTTCAAAAGAGAGCAAGAAGAAAAGACATCGAAAAACCCAATATGCAGTTTGGGGCGTGATTTCAGCTGACCAGCAATTCTGTTACTTAATCTCCAATCATCAAGGGCTACATAGCTGGAAACATTGAAAATGATACAGGAGTCTTGGTCGAAAGATGTGGAGGGAAATAACAAGTTAGTGACATGGAAAGTTAGCAATTTTTTGAAGGGACTTGAGTGCCGACAGTTATGAAGGTGGTTGACAATTCCTGTCTGCCCACACGTTGGAAAGAGTATGCAGTGATGGTCTGCAGTTGACTGTTAATATGCTAAAGCACCCACACCTTATATCGAAACCCCTAACCCTGTTATTTTCAATAGACGGTTCAGTAAATCACAAAATTTATCACAATAGCTTCACTCTAAATAAATTTCAGGTACATTCATACCTGAATATTTGATTCATTTCTCACAGATGCCCGGAAATTAACGTTTCCATATTTCGATGTGGCTTAAACCACATGAAAACTTGAGGATTAATATCAGCGTAACTGGATCGAACATTTTAATCAGCTTAGCACCATCCTTAGTTTCCGAAATCCCCACTATCATTGTCTATTTCAGGCTTTCCATGTTGTATACCGCAAAGCAGAACGGTCGTATTTTGACTGGACTATAGAATCTCGAGTCATAGATGCGTGCTGCACGACTGGGACGTGCATCGAGGACTCAAGGTGATTATTCCTTTGACTTGTGAGGTTAATATGTGGAATTCACCCCACGAGTTCCAGAAGCTTCGATGGTGGATTTCCGTGGACTGGATAGTGCAGGTAATGCGTTAAGTTGCAAAGCGGATAACGCACTCCACTGGCTACCAGTCAGCAACCCTGTATAATTCAGTGGGTCCGTAACGGTTGCACAAGTCTGACACACCTCAGCCCATTCATAATCTCTGCCTTTAACCCCCTACCGACTCCAGTTAGGCTGATACAAAGTAGGAATTCGATCAAAAGCTATCGATTCCGCTACACAAAGCGAAACATTCAATTGGAGTCATCCTAGCAAGCGTCGTCACCGCTTAAGTGGAAAATCTGAGCTTATGAGAAAGACATCTTAAAAGTATGTACAGTATCCTGTTGCAGAGAACCGACAACAGTGGTCGCTTGTTTACAGTCAGTACTAAGTTCAAGCATCCAGAGCGACACTGCTCCACTACCGTCTGTTGTCGCCAGAACAACGGCGGATGCACAGACCATATTGTTATCAACCATTGTAAGATAGAGGATTGGTGGCTATTTGCTCGAGAGCGATGGAGAAGACATCAGAATTAAGTAACACACGGGGACTATTTACGCTTACTAAGGATACCGGGAAGAAGAAAACAATGGTGAGTGAAGTCGTTATCAAAAAGGATGATACCCTGATAACCTCCCAAGACAGGCAGCTAAAACATTGGACAGAACACATTGAAGCATAGCTCAACTGGCCCTCAGCAAGGCTCCAATTGCCCAACACAGCCTGAACCTGAATGGGACGTAGGTGTCTCTTCTTGAAGTTGAGAGAGCTGTATCGAAACATGAAACAAGGCAAAACAGCAGGACCTATCAGTTTGGCACCTGAAGTTTTCGAGGGTAGAGGTACGAGGTAGTGTATGGGAATCAGAGGTGATGTCTTCAGACTGGTGTACTTCATTGATCACCACGGTTTATAAGAAGCAGGAGAAATCTTGTGACAGTCGTTGGGAAATTTGACTAATATTGTGTGCAAGATCCTAGGGTCCATAGCTATCCGACGCTTAACTGGAGCGCAAGAGCAACAAAACTCGAGAAAACCAGGCAGGTCCCATACCTGGATAAAAATGCATCGATTGTATTTGTACCGCCGACAGGACCTGGAAAAGGCGTATTTACCAGTCGAATATGTCGACCACTTCACTTTGGGAGTTGTATAATCTCGAACGGGCTGGTTGCTGACGCAATCTCAACTCGGACACAAAAGACCGCTGGGTATTTGCCAACTTCCATCATCTGTGGCGCCAGTGAGATATCAGACTATCTATCAAAGCAGGGGTATACTCCACTATATTTCGCTCTGTCCTGTTGTATGGTTGTGAAACGTGGTGGTTAGAAGCAGTTACAGGGTTTTGATCATGTGTGTCTTCATAGCATTGGTTGGGTTTGGTGGAATCACCGTGTAGGGTGATGTTAAGGTCTGGCGGAGGGTACTAGGCAGGACGCAGGAGTCGATTGAGATGACTTGGACTTTTACTGCGCATACCGAGCCCACCGCCCACCTCGACGCCCCATGCTGGAGGAAGTTGGATTGGGTTAGATGGGGGTACATAGTGGCCAGACCGAGACCCGACACAAGTCGATAAAGTCTGTTACTATTGGTCTGAGTGGCGTGAAGGAGACTTAGACTGCTTGGTTGGGATATTCTAGACGAAAGAAACCCATGGTTGAGGACTGTTGATGACATTGCTGAAAGTCGGTCACAATGACACAGATGCACTTACTCCTTGACATCTTTTAAAGCTTTGATATTCACACTAACCTTTACCTTCAAACTGTTTATTCTCTAGATCATCTTTATCTACTTCGATATCACTTTTATTCTGTCCACCTGTTCTTTGTGTACTATTGTTAAATGTGACTAGTTAGGGCAAGGTTCTACTTCGATTCTGTCAGTCAGTCACCTGACTCTCAAAAAGGTATGAAAGACAGTTCAGGAGATCTCAACACCCTCTGAATTAGTGGAGGGGCACGAATGCATCCATGCAGGCTCCCAAAACAATGATAAACAGTAGAGAACCACTAAGTTTTGTCAAACAGTCCACCAGAAGAGTCTACTGTAAGCATTACCATTCAACTTTGTTGTAGACGTGTAAGTTGGCATACACCGTGTGACTTTACAGGGATTGGCCTACTCCTAGGATGTCACCTGGTTGACTTGTGATACACAGACGACATTGTCTTGATATGTGAAGATGTTGATAAAATGCGAGGTCTTCTGAACACGTTGTGCGGAGACCTGTGTATGTTTGGCTTTGATTTCGTACCTGTGAAATGTAGGATTATATTCCGCTACTGATCTTCAGTTACTCCTATTTTCAGGCTAGGAGTGAAAGGGAAAAGAATGCGTCGACTGGTTCGCTGATGTGGAAAGTGAATGGTATGTTGAGTGATACCGGAGACCGTTTCACATTTGCTTACTCGCGCCACCCTGGTGTTAGCGAGATATTCGACTACCTATTAGAAGACAGTATACCTGCCCTGCAGTTCACTTTGTCCCATTATATGGCTATGGGACATGAACGTTGAGAGTGAAATAAATAAAGGGACTACAATATTTTCTGATCATAGGTGTCTTCACATCATTGCCCAAGTAGACGAAAATCACTGTGTGAGCGATGATGAAATTAAACGGATGGGGTCAGGTAAGGAAGGCGAGTCAGTCGGTAAGGTTGTGAACTTTCGTGAGCTTAAGGTGGGGGTGACCTGGAGTTGTGTTGAGCATGCGGCGCTGCTACCTACCTCGACGTGTTATGTTAACTGAAGTAGCAATGAGTCGGCAGAAGGTTCAGGGTGACGGTACGATTGCTGAGATTCTCTGACTGTATGTTTCAGCCGTATGGAGAAGTGTAGACTACCTGACTGAGCTCTTGAGACGTTAGGAATCATTAGGTGTGGGCTTTCGGTGAAGAATATGAAAATCGCTCACAGTGGCTCAGATGTACTCACTCGTAGATATCTGTTAAGATTTGAACGATTTGACTAACCTTCACTGTCGAATTTTCTCCCCTATCTAACTGTGATCAGCCCTCCTAGCCTTTGTGTTCGCATCACCAATATAGAGCCTTCAATCTTTCACGTTGTCTCTCTGGGGATCGTCTAAGCCAGCAGAGCACCCATTTCTAGTTTCTAAAACCACACTGCTTATTTGCGTTAAGGCTTCTGACAACTTAACCGTATGGTTATTCAGAAAATAGGTTTTGCTTACCAAAACTTTTGAGTCTCGAACCACTATACTTCTACTACATGCATATGTCATTCAAGTGTGGTTACTCATTTGACCTCATCTGACCAGCGTGATGCAAGCGGTTGAAAATTCGACGTTCATTTCCTGTTGACTTGGTTATGTAGGTATCGCGTAAAAGTTGCAGAGCAGATAACGCTCTCCTCAACTGGGTACCAGTCGACAGCCGTGTTTGGCCGGGCAAATTTGTAGTACCAATTGGATGAGACTGATACGCATCGTAGCCTATTCGCAGTTTTGTCCCACGCGTTTTTCTTTGTCTGTCCGGATATTCCAAAGAACTGTCGTTACTGATCAGAATTTAATAATGTGTTAGGGATTTTTAAATGTTTGAAATATCTACCGATGCCGAAACTCGCTGTATTTCTTGACTTTTATGCGGGGTTCTACTCTCGAATAAAAGGTGTTATGGCAGTATCTGACTGTGAAGAGAGTACCGAGCCTGTGTGTAATGCTAATCAGGACTCTAAATTCTTATAGGAGGTTATCCTACGTTGTTATCTAAAGTGATGACAGGCAGTAGTGTCAGACAAGAATTTCCAATGTCATCATTTCTACCTAACGACGCGGTGATAGACATGAGCCTACATGCTTGTGAATTCTGGAGGGTTGGTCCACTTTCAAAAAAGCACCCACCTGATTTGAAGTACTTAGTCGCTGACGAAATGCTTAGTTTCTTAAGTATGTATTGCAAAAACCTAAATGCGCTCAGCTAACGTGCAAATCGAACCTATCAAATGTAAAATGATTCCTGGATCTGCAGAGTCCGTTTTTCTATACGAGCTCATGGAGTAGATATCAGTGGCCCGAGATTGTTCGGAGAATGGCTGGATATTAATGGCAGTGATCCAACGTCGGCTTCGAAGTTTGATTGCTATGAGTTAGCCTTAATCATTTCTCAAAAGTCATATTTATTTCAGGAAGTCATCTAAGATATTTTGCATTTGAAAATGGTGTCACTTGTGTACTCTTCTTTGATAACTACATTGTTCGTCATTATAGATGGGATGTAGCTACTGAGTTCTTATGACGTACAGAGAACATAGTGTTATTGCATATCGACCGAAGATGATACGTTTCACATCTGCAGACTAAGAGAAAAGTTAAAGTCATGATAAACATCAAAATGAAAGTTCCAACTCATAGTACGAGTTACATGGATTGTAATCTTTAAACTGAGTTGCACTTAATTTGTTTGAGATGTATAATGCTGACACCACTATTTTTTCAACCCTATATATACATTCTCATAAAAGCTGCAAAACGTAACAAAGTCTTTTCTTTTCATGGCGTTTAAAATAGGTGAGGTCCTGGCAAACAATAAACGGCTGTTTAGAACAAATAGATATTCACGAACTTCAACACAAGCCGTAGCAGATGAACAGCAAACAGTAGCAACAATAAAACGTGTTACTGCACTGAATGCTCGTAAACCATTAAATATCCCAAAATATTCAGCAAGGAAATCTTTACCCGTTGCTGTTCGTAGACGCGCACGCAACCTTCAAAAACGCATTGGAGCAATTAAAAAGGTCAACCCAAATTTCAAATTTACGAGTGTGAACAATAAATAATTTCCCTTAGATAATAAATCTCTTGAAATACAGTTATCTCTCTTATTTCAGTACGCATGTGGGACTTTTTGTCCAGCTGTTGTGTTCATAAGTAAGAGATACTTGAAACCGTTCCTATTAAACGCAAATGAAATGTAGAAATACAGAAACAAGATAAGAAAAGTTAATGCACAGCCAGATTTCAAATTCGTGGTGAATTATATAAGCCTGTTACAAAGCAGCTTGTGATTTCAATATGTGTAGCAAACACGATAGTAGAGCGTTTTAGACCTCCACAGGGAAAAGGAATTATCAAACTTAAATACGTATGTCCAGGACCTGGATACAAGTGAGATCCACAGCAAACTTCAGTTTGAGAATTCCGACGCGTAACAGGTATAATCTCATCAACCAAAATGTTAGATTGTTCTTCATTCGCAGACATAGTGGCTTCAGAATGACTACCTGAAAGTTAGAAAAAAAGCGTTATATTAGTCGTTTTCAAACGACTTTTATGATATTTGTAGCTCTACCAAATACAGGGAGCAGTTCTGTCTAAGCGTTGAAACAATGAAATTCCATCAACATTTTGTCCTTTAGTTAACTTAGGGTACGCAAGATATATGGTAAAATGTGATGTTGACCAAGTGAAAACGTCAGGATGCCTACCACCAGTTAAATTCAAACCGGTGTTTTGGCACATTTTTTAGACTACTAGTTTATCAAAAATAAATTATCCGCTACTTCAACCTCATCACTTCCCTACAACTTTGAGTGAGCCTTGGCAATCTCAGCACTGACTATTTCAAAAGGTTAGGCTGAGATTTTATGACTAAAATATTGCATAGCAAGATGTCCGCCGATTCGTCTATGGACAAATAGATCTAAGGTTGGTGGTATCATCAACCCTGGTGATGGAACATAAACGATAAAATCAAAGCTAAGGAAGTACAAAACTATTGTTATCCAGTTCCTGAGTTCCAAATCTTTTCGATTGAACTAACCTGTAAACTATTTAAAAATCAGGCTTCGTTAACTTGTTCGAAAAGTTACTGTTTAAAGTTTTAAAACATATGATATTTTGAAAAAGCTGGGTTAGAAATGAGTGACACCAGATGCCTATATTCATAATTGCTGCTACCTACACGTAGTGATCGGGCTTGTATATCACAATGTTTCAAGGAGGTTCTACCATACCAGAAAGCTCGGTTATATCGTGGTAAGACACAAAGCGGTTACCGCTATGTGAATTGCTATGCTATGGTGGGGCCTGGAAGTAAAACTCTACCGCTGATTGGATAGGCGTGCAACGCAAATAACCGGGCAACAGCGGCACGCTGATGTCTTCCATATGGAAGGAAGGACAGAAAAAGTCGCCCCTGCCTCTACACCGCGCTGCATACCGGCACCGGCGATGTGAGTTAATCATACTCAGTCAAAAACAACAAACTTGGATCTCAGACTCCTAAAATGCCGTATATGACCATCCTTAAGCAGATGTCTCTGGAGCTGTGCAGCCACGAACCAATCCTTTATCAGGTATCCCAATAATAACTAGGGTTTTCACGATGTAGGTAGTCGAGAAGTCTCAACCATCCTCATAACTATCTTCTACATATAATAACCAAACTTCCACATAATCTCCCCTCACTTCTCACGAAACCATATATCTACCTCACCTTGATATTCTCCCAGCCCTTGGCAAATATTTCAGTTATCGAGATAGCATCGCAGATCTTTTCAAACCTCCTAAAAACATATCGTAGCTTTCAATGTCCACACTCTCCATCAAATGTAACAAGCTTCACTACCCAAAACTCGGTCCATACACATATCCCGTGTTTGTGAGACACACACACAGTACCCAAGTGATGTTACTAGCCCCATCCGGGCGATATGAAGAATCTACTAAGTCCATTCCTTGGGCTTCTGGAGATCCGACAGCTACCTCTAGCAGGTATAGTATTGAGCACCAAGGTAGGAAGTTCACTGCTCGACTAGATCCCAGCTGACAGTCGCGTAGGCGCTGTTCGACTGAACGGCAGAGTGACGACTAAAAACAGTAGTGAAAACTCGCCGTTTTCTCTTTGCAATCTCTATGAGTTCTACGGAAAACTGCTTAGCCTACTACTAAAAGCCAAGCTCTCAGATGTGGTAGTTGCTGAGGATGATTTCAGTGTACAAGTAGGTAGGCTATGTCAGACGGAGAGGCACCTTCGGAATCCCAGCTGTACGAAAAGATAATGATCGACTGCTACAGCACGGACTTCAGACATTAGGAGAGATACTATCTGACATGGTGACCTCAACTGAACGGTGGAACCAGATAGATCATATTGCTATCAGTTATCGCTGAAGGACTGCGGCTCCTCCTGGATCACATGTACGATAAACGACGATGCCTTGGTTCTAGTGTTTGCATGTCTGCGTCCAAACAGATGTACCGAAAAGACCTTTGAGACTTAGCTTGACAAGAAACTTACTAACGCTGCTTTCAGTCAGAAACTGGCTAGAGAGATATCGGAACAGAAAAATAGCACTCATCCGGAGAAGCTCGGCGCCATCTCCAGCCTGACGTAAAACAAGAGTCAAAGACAGTAACTAACTACCAGAAGAACAAGACAATGGTGAGTGAAGTCATTATCAAAAAGGATGATACCCTGATAACCTCCCAAGACAGGCAGCTAAAACATTGGACAGAACACATTGAAGCATAGCTCAACTGGCCCTCAGCAAGGCTCCAATTGCCCAACACAGCCTGAACCTGAATGGGACGTAGGTGTCTCTTCTTGAAGTTGAGAGAGCTGTATCGAAACATGAAACAATGCAAAACAGCAGGACCTATCAGTTTGGCACCTGAAGTTTTCGAGGGTAGAGGTACGAGGTAGTGTATGGGAATCAGAGGTGATGTCTTCAGACTGGTGTACTTCATTGATCACCACGGTTTATAAGAAGCAGGAGAAATCTTGTGACAGTCGTTGGGAAATTTGACTAATATTGTGTGCAAGATCCTAGGGTCCATAGTTATCAGTCAGTCACCTGACTCTGGAAAGTTTATTTAAAAGGGTCCAGATCTCAACAGCTTCTGAATTAATGGATGCACACGAATGTGTCGCGGCAGGCTCGCAGCACAATGAGAAGAAACTCTAATGTAGACAGACAAGATGTTTGCGCTATTATCATGAGCGGTGGAGGGCAACGAAGGCTAAAGACATGAAAACTATAGCAGTGAAATGTAACAGTAGACAGTTTATTTAGACATCAAGGAAACTGGGATGAACAGGTCGACCGTTAGTGGTACTAAAGCCGAGGAAAATAGGTCCGTGATTCATCAGGATAGGAGACGACTAGAACGATGGACAGAGCACTCGAAGATTGAGTTCAACCGGTGTGTAGCTACAATTTCGTTACCCATTATCACCTTAGATCCTGACTCCGATACTAACACTGAACCCACTATTCTTACAGATAAGAAGGATATAAAATAACCTTACAAAAGGAAGGCAGAAGGTTGCAATGGTGAGTACTAAAGGTTTCTCAAGGCAGTGGTCAGGATAACTGAAGTGTTAGCCAGTGCACGGGAATCAGATATGACACCCTCTGGGTGAGACCAGTCTTTGGTTGTCCACGTCCTCCGGTTCTACCGTATGACTGTGAAGCATCGGTGCTATGTAGCGATTTGACCTTCAATGTGACACTAACCCGAATGATGTGACACAGCGTTGCTTTTTGCATACAAAAATGGATCGCTTCGCTCTTGTTAACTTACACCACTTATTGCACCGTCGTGATATCTGATTGTCCATTTAAGAACCGAGTGCGCTGCGCTTCAGTTCTCTGCATTCTATCGTATGGCTGTGAAGCATCGGTGCTAAAGGTAGAGAACATGGCAAACCCTCAGGTATTTGACCACCTCCACCTTTGTAGCATAGGTTGTGTTTCGTGGTCCTACCACGTCAGTTAGGAGAATTTTGGATAGAAGAGTTAAGAGGGTTAATGAGGTTGTAGAGATTCATCGACGCAGGTGGCTAGGACATGTATTATGCATGTCTAGTCACCGCCTGCCTCATCGCACAATGTTACACGAAGTAGGTTCAGGCTGGAAAAAGCTTATAGGCGGCTACATTGGGAATTTGAAGTCTTTCAATGTGGTGTGAGCTGTGTAAGGAAACGTAGACTTCCTGGTTGTCGTCCACATGACAACATATATCGTTGATTAAAGACTTTCAGCGGCATGGCTCAGTGGCGCAGATATATCCATACATTATCTTCATCTCCGTTGTCATACTGTATCTCAGTATTCTTTTATTCCTTCTTGCTCGATTTTGATAACTTTCTACCACCTCTGAATGCTTTTTTATCTACTTCTTTGTCTTTCATCTAAGTTCCTTCTCACTTGGTGTGCTGATATGAGGTGTGGTTTTATAACTTGGACTGTTACATAGTAATGCCAGGTCCCAACAAACAATAACAATAAGGAGACTATCTGATATTCCCTTTCTGCAAAAATAATCGAGCTGAAATCACAATTATTATTTCCTCACTTACCATCTGCATTGACTGGTAAAATGTGACTGTTCTGTATGATATCAGGATCAGATATTGGTTCGGCCCACTCAAAAAATAATCCAAACCCAATATCGTAATCATCTGTAGCGAACTCCCAAACTATACTTGTTCCTGATGGATGTGTTTGAACACGAACCTGAATATGGATCAAATACGAAGAGACTTATTATTTTATTCAACAAAAAGAACCAGTAAAGGTATGGGGATGAGAAAACAACACAGCAAGTAATGTAAAACCATATCATAAGAAGAGCTGCAAAAATATAAACGGTCATATCACAGTACTCTTCATATACAGTGGAACCAATAAAACTTAAAAATGGTTGCTTTTGGCTTCTATCTTAAACCATATCTAACCATCGTTTTAAGTGCTGAACCATCGAACCTCACTAAAGAAATCTTGAAACATCAATAGATGTCAAACCGAAAACCCAATCCTTCACGCTACAACGCTTCATCATATACTGATTAGTTCTTTCCTTGTTATGCCCAGTCGCGAATCTAACATGATATGGAAGCCGCTACAGCTTGAAAGAATTGCTGTACTAGACTGAGGCTTCTCGACGTAGAAGCTAATACAAAAGTGGATCGGTTCAAACTGCGACACGACCTTCACAATAAAATACAAGAAAAAGGAATGAAAGTGTACTGAAGTTTGTGAGGAAAGCGCAACTAGGTGAAAGTCAATGTACTTATTAGAAATTTAAAAAATGACAAGAAATATGTTCATCTGAGCCGTTGTGACCGATATTTTAAGTCATGAATAATCTCAAACTACTAATTCCCATAATCTGAAAGACAAGAACTAACACCTCACACGAATAGTCGAAATCAGCAATCTTAACATAGGGCCAAGCATTACTGCGTAACAGTCCAAGTTATAAAACCACACCTCATATCAGCACACCAAGTGAGAAGGAACTTAGATGAAAGACAAAGAAGTAGATAAAAAAGCATTCAGAGGTGGTAGAAAGTTATCAAAATCGAGCAAGAAGGAATAAAAGAATACTGAGATACAGTATGACAACGGAGATGAAGATAATGTATGGATATATCTGCGCCACTGAGCCATGCCGCTGAAAGTCTTTAATCAACGATATATGTTGTCATGTGGACGACAACCAGGAAGTCTACGTTTCCTTACACAGCTCACACCAACATTGAAAGACTTCAAATTCCCAATGTAGCCGCCTATAAGCTTTTTCCAGCCTGAACCTACTTCGTGTAACATTGTGCGATGAGGCAGGCGGTGACTAGACATGCATAATACATGTCCTAGCCACCTGCGTCGATGAATCTCTACAACCTCATTAACCCTCTTAACTCTTCTATCCAAAATTCTCCTAACTGACGTGGTAGGACCACGAAACACAACCTATGCTACAAAGGTGGAGGTGGTCAAATACCTGAGGGTTTGCCATGTTCTCTACCTTTAGCACCGATGCTTCACAGCCATACGATAGAATGCAGAGAACTGAAGCGCAGCGCACTCGGTTCTTAAATGGACAATCAGATATCACGACGGTGCAATAAGTGGTGTAAGTTAACAAGAGCGAAGCGATCCATTTTTGTATGCAAAAAGCAACGCTGTGTCACATCATTCGGGCTAGTGTCACATTGAAGGTTAAGTCGCTACATAACCATTAGCACATCGTTAGCTTGACCGTTTGCCATTTAGAAACTGGCACGTGTACATAAGTAACCTGCTTCAATGCAATTTCTCTCCCCTTTGTCAGATTTTTTCCTGGAAAAGGAATGGGAATGTTACACGTTTTCAATTTACGTTTTGGGTGGCGAGGCCTTCCATCCGACCTGTTATTGGGTGTGACGCTGTAAAATCTTAGTTGTTATCTTTCACGTTTTACTAATCAGAGGTGCTTTTGGTTAAGAAACTTCGGCGATAATAAAGGGATTTGAAGGCACGTGAATTCATGAATGCTGCTGGCCACGTGCAGTTAAGCAGTTTGATCATTCGTTATAATGTACAGTTGATTAAGCATGATTTCAGTAGTTAATTACACAGTAATTATATCTACAAGGATTTTGTACCTCAAACCTTACATATCATTATGTTGAGATCATACAATTAGCTGCACTGAGCTTTACAAACTTCGTAATACTCGTAGCACAGTAACGCCTTAAGTAATAGACATTTTCATTACAATTGATAAACTAAACCATCGAGAAACAGCACTAACTATGGTCAGGTTTTTGCAAGTTATAAGAACACAAAGCTCACAATCAGGAAAGATAATTGTCGTCATAAGTTGACTGCTTTGGATATCTACATGTTTTTTAAATTGCCCCGTCGGATATCATCTAGCTGATGTGAGCATTTCTACACTACAACTATAAGCACGTTCCTAGAAGTTTCGATTGTCTGGATAGTGTGACGATTTGCAAAACGTTTTTACACTTTTCACTGGTTGATTTGCGTAAAATTTCAACTTAATAGCGGAAAGGAGATACGATGAAAAAAGACTGCTGACAGATAGACTAAGGAAAGTGAAATTATTAGTTTGTCAGTGAATACAAACTAAGTACTTAAGATACGAGTCATTCAAACAGAAATACGACTTACTGAGTAAACTTCTCCACTACTTATTCGTATAATAGATTCCTCATCTTCTGCTAGACATTGCTTGAATTCTTTAACTTCTCCACGAGTCCACAGAATAGGAGCATGCACCACTAAGGAAGTACTTGTATAAGGATCGGTTTTAGAGCATTTAATTTCTGAAGCATGTACTGCATGATCGGTACTATCCCTTTAAAAAGATCAAATCAACAAAAGACAGGATGCATTGAAAACCGATGCGACTCAATTTATCACAACAAAAGCAACATAATGAACAAAACAAGGTCAGAAAAAGTAAGATGAAGCCCTTCTTTTCATGACATGCTGATGTGGCTCGTCTTGAAAAAGATACTTAAGTATGAAATTACAAAAATAAACCAATGAAAATCAATTTACAGGCAAACAGACCCGCTAAAAACTTCGGTTATTGGGACGATTTAGGTAATGTGAACCTTAGTACCAATAAAGAAGTTAACTTAAGAACAAGGGGGAATAAAAACTCCTTTTGGTGATAAGCGGTAAACGCTTATCTTCGGGAAGCAAATCAAGCAGAACACAATAAAATTTACATATTGGGTACTTTGTTCGAGAACCCACAGAAGGTTTCGTCAAATTATTGAAATAAGGAAAACGTAGATGATTACCGAAACAGTTCCAAAGTATCATATTAGGTCACGACACAAGAAATGAACCAAACAAAAGTGAAACGAAAAGTAGTACGAGATCAATTCAACCTGCCACAACACAACAGCGAAATACAAAGAACAAGCAGGCAGAAAAAGTAATATCAAAATAGACAAAAGAGCAGTGGTGGAAAACGAATTTGAAAGCGAAAGTTCACACCCATTGATTCCTAACGTCTCAAGGAGCTCAGTCAGGTAGTCTACACTTCTCCATACGGCTGAAACATACAGTCAGAGAATCTCAGCAATCGTACCGTCACCCTGAACCTTCTGCCGACTCATTGCTACTTCAGTTAACATAACACGTCGAGGTAGGTAGCAGCGCCGCATGCTCAACACAACTCCAGGTCACCCCCACCTTAAGCTCACGAAAGTTCACAACCTTACCGACTGACTCGCCTTCCTTACCTGACCCCATCCGTTTAATTTCATCATCGCTCACACAGTGATTTTCGTCTACTTGGGCAATGATGTGAAGACACCTATGATCAGAAAATATTGTAGTCCCTTTATTTATTTCACTCTCAACGTTCATGTCCCATAGCCATATAATGGGACAAAGTGAACTGCAGGGCAGGTATAACTGTCTTCTAATAGGTAGTCGAATATCTCGCTAACACCAGGGGTGGCGCGAGTAAGCAAATGTGAAACGGTCTCCCGGTATCACCCAACACAGTATTCAGTGTCAGTGAGACGGCCTGTGAGATAAGTGGTACACCGATAAACAATCCTCAAAGACTGCTGGAACGATGGGTGGAGCACTTCAAAAGTCAGTTTAGCTGGCCCACGGCTCCAGAGTTGTCAGCTTGTGTATTGTGCTCCTTGGTCAGTTGACACTGACCCACCTAACGAAGAAAAGGTTCATAAGGAACACAAAGTTCTGAAACGCCACAAGGCATTCGGTCAAGACAACTTGCCCCCGACTCTTTTTAAGGATGGAGGAAGGACTCTTGTCAGGGAACTGACTACATTGTTCGAGAAAGCATGGCAGACTGAGAGTGTTCCATCACTCTAGAATGAAGCTCATCTTTTAAAAAAGTCTAAGTAATGTATGTGACAATAATGGGGGTATTAGTCTGTTACCAGTCGCGTCGAAAATATTGGCTGCTATCGTACTTCCCAGACTTTGCAAAACATGAGGGAAGATGATTCGTGAGGACCAGGTCGGGTTTCGTTTAGGTTGTGGGTGCACTGACCGTGTGTTTATCCTCTACTAGATGCTTGAACACCGCCACACGTATTTCAGGCCAACAATCGTAGTGTTTCTTGACATTAGGGCTGCTTTCGATTCGTCGGGCAGAGCTGTAATCTAGAACTGTCCGTTGGAGAAAGGAGTGTCTGAGAAATTTATTCACATCTTGAAAGCCTTATGTAATAACACCTCAAGTGGAGTGAGGGCATACAACCTACATTGTTCCGAAGTAGCGGTGGGGTTAAACAAGCTTGATCGATTTCTCCATTCCTCTTCAATTTGAAATCGATGACATTCTTAAAACAGCTCTCAAGGAAGTGATGTAGATCTACTACCCAGAGAACGGCTATTTGACCTTGGATGTACGAAAAAATACCGTCTTACTGTGTGATAACACACAGGCTCCTCAAGTGGCGCCTAGTCAGTTAGCTATCAGTGTTTGTAGGTATGGTATGTGCTATGCACCATTGAAGTTCAAAATACTTCTGCAAGATTGGCAGGAGCCTGTGCTTACGATAACTCTTGGTGGTGAGCATATCGAAAGCCAGGCTGGCATACGTAAATCTGAGTCACCTTTGGCGCTGTCACGACGTTAGTCTGGCCATAAAAGGTTAGGTCTACAATGCTTCGATGTGACCAGTTATGTCCTACGTCTGTAGAACCTCGCCTCCCCGAGCTGAGAATACACGACGACTCTGTGTTCGACCATCGTTGTCTCCATGGGATTGCTCGTACGCGGTGGCAACAGCATTTAAATAATTCTCAGGTACGACAGCATGTGCATGGGTATGATGGAGCTCCCCACTCAATAAGTGAAGTCATCTGGAAACACCGGCTTGGGTAGCTTGGACATGACACGCATGTCGTCCCAGCAGCTTCCATACCGCATCATTGTTTGCTAGATGGAAAGAAAAGAGTGGTTAGTGTATGACATGACACCGTGGGATGAAGGATAGCTGTTTCGGTTAGCATCTATTGATGCATCACGACTCCCTGGGTGGGGTCCGAGACACCACACAACTCAGTACCTTAAGACGTTATCAGATACGGTTCAAAATGAAAACCAGTAGCGGTCACGACGTAGCTTTATTCTATCTTCAGATGCTGAAAACTAATGAATCCTTTGTTTTTAAAGTAACTTAATGCAAAAACACAATACAACTGACTAATCATATTAACTATGTCTTTCTGACCTTCAGTGTGACATACGATACTGAAAGAAGGATATCACAACAAGTAAAGCCAACAAAACCCTAATGGATTTGCAAGATAAAAGTGAATAAGGTAGCCACATATCTAGTAGTAAACTGATTTTAAAATGTACAACCTATGGTGTAAAAGATTAGCTGGAACATAAAGGAATTTGATTTTCTGAAAGATTCCAATATTTTGAATACTAAAAAACTAATCTGCATTTTGATTAGTAAGATAAGAAACTAACCATTAACATGGAAGTAAAACTAATCATTAACCTGTGAGGTGGTTGTTACAGGTTTACAAACACCTAGGCTATGAGTTCAATAATCAATCAATCATTACCAACACAGGACCAGGTATTACTACGTAACGGTCCGAGTTGCCACACCTCATATCAGCACATCAAGTAAAAAGGTAGTGAGGTGAAGGATGAGGATAAGTGAATGCAGTCAAAAGAAATATAAAGTACGAGAAGAAAGGAAAGAGAAGCGACAAAATGGTGAGATTCGGTATAGTGTAGTTAAGATGAGGATGTGTGTATACATCTGCGCCACTGACATCGGTTCTGAGCCATATCACCTAGAGTCTCCAACCACTGGTTCCTCTTGTCCCGCGGACCCCAACCACCTGAGTTCAGTAATATTTTGCAAGTGATAAGATCTGAATTACATATATCTAATGGTGGGTCAGATTAACATCCATAGAAATTGCTAGGACACAAACAAAATCAGCTGTGTTATCTACATATCATAACTGCTTGGAAAAAGATACAAACCAGGTACCACATAAAGTACCTAAACACATTTTTTATGACAGACCTAACACCAAACTCTAAATAAAACCTTCATAAAATTGTTTTGCGCAATAATCAGGTTTAAACTTTCAAAAACGAGAAATGGGTGATCTGCTGGCTTAGACGATCCCCAGAGAGACAACGTGAAAGATTGAAGGCTCTATATTGGTGATGCGAACACAAAGGCTAGGAGGGCTGATCACAGTTAGATAGGGGAGAAAATTCGACAGTGAAGGTTAGTCAAATCGTTCAAATCTTAACAGATATCTACGAGTGAGTACATCTGAGCCACTGTGAGCGATTTTCATATTCTTCACCGAAAGCCCACACCTAATGATTCCTAACGTCTCAAGGAGCTCAGTCAGGTAGTCTACACTTCTCCATACGGCTGAAACATACAGTCAGAGAATCTCAGCAATCGTACCGTCACCCTGAACCTTCTGCCGACTCATTGCTACTTCAGTTAACATAACACGTCGAGGTAGGTAGCAGCGCCGCATGCTCAACACAACTCCAGGTCACCCCCACCTTAAGCTCACGAAAGTTCACAACCTTACCGACTGACTCGCCTTCCTTACCTGACCCCATCCGTTTAATTTCATCATCGCTCACACAGTGATTTTCGTCTACTTGGGCAATGATGTGAAGACACCTATGATCAGAAAATATTGTAGTCCCTTTATTTATTTCACTCTCAACGTTCATGTCCCATAGCCATATAATGGGACAAAGTGAACTGCAGGGCAGGTATAACTGTCTTCTAATAGGTAGTCGAATATCTCGCTAACACCAGGGGTGGCGCGAGTAAGCAAATGTGAAACGGTCTCCCGGTATCACTCAACATACCATTCACTTTCCACATCAGCGAACCAGTCGACGCATTCTTTTCCCTTTCACTCCTAGCCTGAAAATAGGAGTAACTGAAGATCAGTAGCGGAATATAATCCTACATTTCACAGGTACGAAATCAAAGCCAAACATACACAGGTCTCCGCACAACGTGTTCAGAAGACCTCGCATTTTATCAACATCTTCACATATCAAGACAATGTCGTCTGTGTATCACAAGTCAACCAGGTGACATCCTAGGAGTAGGCCAATCCCTGTAAAGTCACACGGTGTATGCCAACTTACACGTCTACAACAAAGTTGAATGGTAATGCTTACAGTAGACTCCTCGACCGGATACCATTACTCATCATTACTCCGAATGATAACTTCCAATACGCCCTCATACACAGCTGCGTGACTTCGAATAGAGTCTTGATTAGCATTATATACAGGCTCAGTACTCCACAGTCACACACTGTCACAACACCCCTCACTCGAGGGCAGGATGCTGTCTGAAGGTCAAGAAGTATGGCAAGTGTCAGGTTCCAGTAAGTATGCCTGTTCTAAAACCTGTTCTCGATGGCGCAAATCTGATCTATGCACCCTCTTTACAGGTTTCAAGTCTACCTGGTTTTTACAAGACTTCTCTCCTGTCTTA